ATTACTGAGGTTATTAGAGGGGTAGGTTTTATAACTGAGGCTATTAGAGTGGTAGGTTTTATTACTGAGGTTATTAGAGGGGTAGGTTTTATAACTGAGGTTATTAGAGGGGTAGGTTTTATTACTCAGGCTATTAGAGGAGTAGGTTTTATTACTCAGGCTATTAGAGGGGTAGGTTTTATAACTGAGGCTATTAGAGGGGTAGATTTTATAACTGGGGCTATTAGAGTGGTAGGTTTTATTACTGAGGTTATTAGAGGGGTAGGTTTTATAACTGAGGTTATTAGAGTGGTAGGTTTTATTACTGAGGCTATTAGAGGGGTAGATTTTATGACTGAGGCTATTAGAGGGGTAGATTTTATGACTGAGGTTATTAGAGTGGTAAGTTTTATGACTGAGGCTATTAGAGGGATAGGTTTTATAACTGAGGCTATTAGAGTGGTAGGTTTTATGACTGGGGTTATTAGAGTGGTAAGTTTTATTACTGAGGCTATTAGAGGGGTAGATTTTATAACTGAGGCTATTAGAGGGGAAGGTTTTATTACTGAGGTTATTAGAGGGGTAGGTTTTATTACTGAGGCTATTAGAGGGGTAGATTTTATGACTGAGGTTATTAGAGTGGTAAGTTTTATTACTGAGGTTATTAGAGGGGTAGGTTTTATAACTGAGGCTATTAGAGGGGAAGGTTTTATTACTGAGGTTATTAGAGGGGAAGGTTTTATTACTGAGGCTATTAGAGGGGTAGATTTTATTACTGAGGCTATTAGAGGGGTAGGTTTTATTACTGAGGTTATTAGAGGGGTAGGTTTTATAACTGAGGCTATTAGAGTGGTAGGTTTTATTACTGAGGCTATTAGAGGCATAGGTTTTATTACTGAGGTTAATGGGGTGGAAAGGTTTTATAACTGAGGCTATTAGAGGGGAAGGTTTTATTACTGAGGTTATTAGAGGGGAAGGTTTTATTACTGAGGCTATTAGAGGGGTAGATTTTATTACTGAGGCTATTGGAGGGGTAGGTTTTATTACTGAGGCTATTAGAGGGGTAGGTTTTATTACTGAGGATATTACAGTGATAGGTATTATTACTGGGGATATAAG